TCAGCACTAGGGGACAGAGGTGGCCCGCCGAGGGACCCTGATGGGAGGAGCGTCCTGAGGGTGCTGCTTGAGTAGTCTCGATTGTCCTGAGGTGCGCCAGGAGCGAGACCCCATGGCCCACACTTGCTGGCTCTCTGTGCGTTGGTATGCCCACGCTGCCCACACTTGCCGGCTCTCTGTGTGTTGGTATGCCCACGCTGCCCACACTTGCTGGCTCTCTGTGCGTTGGCATGTCGGTAGCGCTAGATGCTCGGTGGGGATTCTTCCTGTGGCCTTGTCGAACCCTCTCTTCCTTCCATCTTCTGCCGGGGCACTGAGGTCCCCTGTAGAATCAGAGGGGCAGCTGAGCTATCCTCCATGCATGTCCCCGTCTGCGGTCTTGCCTAACACAGAGTACGCAGTCTGCGCTCCAAGGCCAGACCGATGTCCCTGTGGTGTTGCGTGAGGTTGGGGATCGTGTGGGGTGGACCCATCCTGCTGACTCCTAAGAGACCCTGCTTGAGTCAGTCCCCAGACCCAGCTCTCGCATGTGCCAGCAGGTGCTTTGGCCTGGCCTAGCCTGCCCCCAGACCACGTGTTTAGACTGGGGTGTTGGCCTGACCCAGGGCGCTCCTCTGGATCCCCCTTCTGATCCACCCCATCTTGGCTCTGTCGATCACTGTGGGCGCAGTGGCTGAGTCTGTGGAAGCACCCCAGAAATAATTTCTTATATCAAACCAGCCCTCAGTGGCCCCTGTTCCTAGCTGTCTCCTGCCCCCAGCCTCAAGCAGTGTGCCTCCCCCTCAATGTGCTTATGGTGGCAGTGGGTGGTGCTGGAGTGGCACTAACTGGCATGCACCCATAGTGGCATGGCAGGTGCTCCATCTTATTCTCTTGAATTTTTTTTAAGATTTATTTATTTTTATTGGAAAGGCAGAGATACATAGAGATAGAGAGGACGATCTTCCGTCCGATGGTTCACTCCCCAGGTGGCTGCAATGGATTGAGCTGAGCCAATCCGAAGCCAGGAGCCTGGAGCTTCTTCTGGGTCTCCTATGCACCGCAGGTCCCAAGGCTTTGGGCCGTCCTTGACTGCTTTCCCAGGTCACAAGCAGGGAGCTGGGCGGGAACCAGGGCTGCCAGGATTAGAACCAGCGCCATATGGATCCCTGCGTGTTCAAGGTGAGGACTTAAGCTGCTAGGCTATCACGCTGGGCCCTCTCCCAGATGTTTAACAGAAAAAAGGAAAAAAAAAGAAAAAATAGGCAACTATGCTGGCACGGTGGCATGCTTAACCCAGATTTGGCATTAACCAGGCCCAGAATGCCCACCAGCTGCTGGCTTCTGGAAAGGTGTCCCAGTGTGACACCTGCCCAGGTATGAGGTATGAGGTAAGCTAGGCTGTTGCCTGCTGCTGGGGGATACACGTCTTCTGGAGTAATGGTGTCTGCAGTCCACGCAAAACTGTGTCTGAAATCAGTCTCTGAGCTCCTGACTAGAATTTAAGAAAGAACTAGGGCAGAGTAGAAAGGATCAGGGCATACCTTACAATGACTTAGCTCAGCTTCAGCCGTGTGTACTTGGTCATCATGCACGAGGGCGATTTCAAACAGTGCATGACAAATGTGTTTTCTTGAAAAAACCCGTGTGTGGATTTCAGAATCTTTCTGCACTAGAGTAATCGTGTCTTAGTCCCATTTTCCCACAAACATTTGGAAGGACCCTCCTAGGGCTGATTCTTACCATGTGTTCCGGCTGTGATCGCTGGTGAAGGGCCGGAAGTGGAGTTGCTGGGGGTGAGAGCGCCCGGCCCGTTTCCTCTCTCCTAGATGTCTGCTCCCAGCCTCTCCTGATAGCGCTTACGCAAGTTTGTGGAACGAAAATAGCATTTCCCGCACTTGTGCAGCACTTCGATAAAGTGCTGCTCCTCCAGGACGTGGGGTTCCTGCTGGTTTCCTCTGCGAACCTCATTTTCCTGGGCAGTAATGATGTGCCCTGGTTGTGATAGAGTTCCCATATTGCAGACTTTGGAAGTGTGGAAGCCTGTGCTTGTCAGGGCACCCCAGGACCGTGCAGGTGCACCACGCTTAGGCTGCAGGCCCCCCGTCCCCTCTGCTCCCAGCCCTGGCGTCTGCAGGCATCTGGATGGCCGGTCTGGATATGTCATAGAAGCGTGCAGCTAACAGGATCTGTTGTGTCCGGCCTCCCCAGCTCAGCCAGGGTTCTGTGGCTCATCTTGTTCCGTTGTATAAATACACCTTTTGTCCGTCCAATGTTGGGCATTTGCGCTGTTTTCACTTTTTGGTGATTGTGGATGAATTCAGCATGACTGTGTGGTTTTTGTGTAAGCATATGTCCTCAGCTCTGTCGGCTGTGCGTCCTAGGGTGGAGTCTCCGAGTCCTGGCAGCCTCATGACTAACCTTTCAGAGAGCTGCCAGAGGCCTTCTCAAAGCAGCTGTGCCAGCCCTGTACCAGGCCACGGTCTCCACGTCCTTGCCAACACTTGATATTCTCTAGAGATGTATTGATCTCCTTGGAAAGGCAGAGTTAGAGAGATAAAAGCCACTCTCCAGATGGCTGCAGCAGCCACGGGTGGGCCCGGCAGAAGCCACGAGCTTCATCAGGATCGCCCACGTGTTAGCACCTGGGCGCCTTCCGCTGCTGTTCCCAGGTGCGTGGACAGGGAGCTGCATGGGCATTGGAGCAGCTGGGACGAGAACCGGTGCCCACAGGGGCTGCAGGCGACAGCTTTACCTGCTGTGTCGTCGTGTTGGCACCATGTTTATCGTTTTGGCCACAGGCAGCCTAGTAGGTAGAAAGTGATATTTCATTGTGGTTTGGATTTACGTTTTTTATATGCTTAGTGATTAATGGAGTTGGAACATCTTTTTCATGTGTCTTTTGGTATTTGTGTGTCTTCTCAGAAGACAATAAATTAAATCTTTGTGTTAAAGATTTATTTATGCAGTTACAGAGAGAGAAAGAGAGATTTTCTATTCACTGGTTTGCTCCTCAGATGGCTACAGAGGCTAAGACTGGTCCAGGCTGAAGCCATGTGCATCCGGGTCTCCTATGGAAAGCAGGAAGGGCCCCGAGTACTTGAGCTGTTCTTTGCTGCCTTCCTAGTCGAGTTAGCAGGGAGCTGAATCCAAAGTGGCGCAGCCAGGACTTGAACCTGTGATTTTATGGGATGGTGGCATTACAGCTGTGTCTTAATCAGCTGCGCTGTAACACCAGTTATATGGACGCCGGTTCTAATCCCGGCAGCCCTGCTTCCCATCCAGCCCCCTGCTTGTGGTCTGGGAAAGCGTGGAGGACAGCCCAAAGCCTTGGGACCCTGCACCTGCATGGGAGACCTGGGCTCCTGGCTTCGGATCAATTCAGCTGTAGCTGTTATAGCCGCCTGGGGAGTGAATCAGTGGATGGAAGAACTTCCTCTCTTCCTCTCCTCCTCTCTGTATATCTGCCTTTCCAATAAAAATAAATAATTAAAAAAAAACCCCTGTTCATTTTTATTGGAAATGTAGATTTTTATAGAGGAGAGATAGAGAAGGTCTTCCACCTGCTGCTTTATTCCCCAGATGGCCACAATGGCTGGGGCTGTGCCAGGAGCCGAACCTCTGTCTGCGCCATCTCCCATATGGGTGGCACCCAAGCTCACGCACCGAAGCCACATTTGGCTGCCTTCCCGGGTACATTGGCAGGGAACTGCTTCAGAAGTAGAACAGTCTAGACTCCAACCACTGCTTTTATGGACTCTGTCATCACAGGTCGCAGTGTAACCCACTGGGCCACAATGTCAACCCTTGTACCTGTTCTGACTTTTTGAAGAGTTAGCTGGTTTTAGCTCTTCCCTGTAGGAAGCCTTTGACCTCTGTGAACTTCTGTATATTGTGTGAGGTAGGGATCCAGCACTGTTTTTTCTATGCGGAAATCCATTTTCGTGGCTGTTCATTTTTACTAGTATCCTTCCCACAGTGAATGAATTGTGGGTAAGTTCAGATTGCCTGTCATTAGCTTTCCATGTGTTCAGGCTAGAAACTTTATTTGGTTTCAGTATATTTTCTTTTTGCGTAGAATTTTCTCTTGCTTGAATTGTTATCAAATTTCTTCTAGCACAATAGCGGGTTAGGATATGAAAATAAAAATGAATAATATGATGAATGAGACTTGAATATAAATCACAGTTATGCTGTTTCTAAAATTAAAAATACAGTGTATGCAATATTTTCATCATTATAAAAAGTATGTTGGCTATAAAGGGCTTCAACTATGTTCTTTTTCTTGGGACTCAGCAGAGTTTTACGGAAAGCTTCTTTGCTCTGGCTTCTGTAATAATCTAGGCATTGGGAAAAAATCCGGTGCTCACCGATGAATTTACTTATTTTTGTCAACATTGGGTCCTCTTATATGCAAATCGAAAAGGCCTTATGTTTCAGTTACATGGCTGAAGATCCCAGCAAGTGGCATTAGGATAATGAGGCTGTGTGCACCTGGCGTTTTACATCGTTCCTTTCCAGCTTGGGAGCGGGTGGGGCCCGTAGCCCTTAGGAGAGCCTGAAGGTTCACGGAGCTCAGCTGTGTTTCATGGAGGCAGTGACAGCCCAGGTTCTTCCAGGTTCTTCTTGCTTTCATTTGACGTCTTTGTTGTATCCTGTCCTGTCTTTGGTAAAGATCAAAATGATGTTAATTTTTACACCCAAAATCAGCACAATGAATGTAAATGAAGTCAAATTTGTACTCAGGAGAACTTGTTTCTTAGCAACCACAGACAGCCAGGTGACCAGCTGGGCAGCCTGTGAGCCAGGTGACCGGCTGGGCAGCCTGTGACTGTCGTGATGGCTGGGACTGCGTGCCTTCCCCACACTGCTCCTTGTGCCTCCTACTGCGTGCCAGGTCAGAGCAGGCTGTCCCCTGCGAGGTGGCCGGAGCAGGTGCTGAAGGCTCACGTGGATGCTACCCAACCGTTTCCATTTCCCCCTGCTCACGTTAACATATTTTGTGTCTTCCTGTTCTGTAGGTGGCAGTCGTCCTGATGGACACCCAGGGAGCGTTTGACAGCCAGTCGACTGTGAAGGACTGTGCCACCATCTTTGCTCTGAGTACCATGACCAGCTCGGTCCAGGTGAGATCATGTGACTTGAGCAGGTGTTTGTAGGGAATCTAAGACGGAAGTTGGGGTGTCTCGTTCAGTGACTGCCCTTCCCGAGCACCCTGACGCTGTGCCCTTCCGCAACACTGTGACGCTGTGGGGATGCCCTCCGCAGACTCCTAGACACTCCAGAAGGAGTTCATATAATTATAAATAAAATGAACCAAGATGTGAAAAGTAGAAGTAAAAGTAAGTCACACGGAAAATGCGGATTTGGAAAACTACTTAGAAAACTTAGGAAAACCATAACCATATTTTATTTATCTACTTATTTTTTTAATTTATTTTTTATTGATTACATTGCATTATGTGACACAATTTTTATAGGCTCTGGAATTCCTCCCTTCCCTCCCCAAAACCCCTCCTCCCTCCATGGTGGATTCTTGTTGTATTACTACAGTTCAGATTCAGTTGAGATTCTTTCCTTGCAAGCATCTACAAAGCATAGAGTCCAGCATCTTATTGTCCAGATAAGTTCAGCAGTTTCTTGGGGAGACCGTCTCTGGTCTGAAGGTAGAGCCAACAGAGTATCATCCCAATCAATTAAAAACCCCGACATTACATCAGTAACAATTTATAACGTAATGGAATTAGTTGACATGGTATTGTGTAACCAGCATGTTAAAAGAGAGAGAGAAAAAAAGAGTGCAAGTTCTGAACCACATCCTATGACTTCTACATTGACATTACGATTATTAGTTTATATACAATTGGGTTCTATACACCTTAAAATGGCTATAGATTACTATTCAGCTGTCTCATGTCTATTTTAATTTAAGTATTTAGCAGTTCATAGCGTTGAAGCACGATTTTGCAGAACCTGGCTGTTTTTCAGGTAGTCTAACTCTATCACTCTAACAAAACATATGTCAACAGTTTAGGTGAACAGTTTTAGGAGGGGTGTGCAGAGAAATCTTCAAAACCCTAGTGAGGAGTAACTAATCTTCGTGTCCCACCCAGTGAGTTATAAGTGCATCCTCACTGCCCGTTTCCTGTTTCTAAGCTTTCCTTGCTGTTCTCCATCTATTCTAGGGTTTTTTTTTTGTTTATTTTTTTATGTGTTAGTTCGTTTTGAGGCGTTTCTGGAGCGATCCTGATGGTCATTACGAGAGAGGGTGGGGACCCAAAGTCGGAACCAGGCAAGAACCAGAGAAAGCTTCTCCCCCTAGTCCTGAAGGAAAGTTTACTGATTTGTTTCTGTAGACCGCTCAATGCTCCTAGTTGTCGTTCGGAAGGCCTTGGATCCTGCAAGGCAGGGTATGGGCTTCTTCCATCCCATGTGGGAGATCCAAATGGAGGTGGGTGACCTCAGAGTTCTCGGCCTCCGAAGGCACTGCAATTCCCCGTGGTCTCCTTGGTGGTTGGGATGTAGTCCTTGGAGCTCGTACTGATAGTCCTTGGTGAGGATCTAGGAGTCTCCAGGGTTGGGATACAAGCCTCCTCCTCTCCGCCTGCTCCACTCTGGGGTCCCCCCCCCGCCGCCCGCTCTGTGCATATGACCTCCTGTTAAGAGGTTGCTGGGTTGGCTCCTGATTCCCCCCATATGCCTTCATAGTTTTGTTATTGTCTAATGCTGATTTGAGTCTGTTGTGTATGAGTTACCAGTTATGATCCTGATAGGTTATACTTCCCATCTTCCTCACACCTTCTTGGGTGATGTAAGATTTCTCTGCTTATCTACTTATTTATTTGAAAAGCAGAGTTATAAAGAGAGATCTTCCATTTGTTGGTTCATACCCCAAATGGCTGTAATAGCCAGGGCTAGGTGCTGTAGAAGCCAAGGGCCTGTAGAAGCCAAGGGCCTGGGCCTCCATCCTGGACTGTCCCCTGGTTAGCAGGGGTCCAAGGGCCTGGGCCTCCATCCTGGACTGTCCCCTGGTTAGCAGGGGTCCAAGGGCCTGGGCCTCCATCCTGGACTGTCCCCCGGCTGGCAGGGGCCCAGCATTGGGGCCATCTTCTGGTACCTTCGCAGCTGCTTTGGCAGGAAGCTGGATTGGAAGTAGAATAGCCGGGACTCCAACCAGGGCTCTGCTGGCTTTGCAGGGAGCTGCTTAAACTACTGGACTGCAGCACCAGCACCAGAGAACCATGCTTTAGGTTATGGGATTTTGTAGTTTCCACCTCTTGTCCATAGTTTCCCAGACACAGTGTATACTGTTCTGGCTTTAATGTCCCACTCTGGCGTGCAGAACCTATAATCATACGTAGCTTCCATCTAGTGCTCACGGCTGATTTCAGGTGTCGGAAGTCAGCCGATCGTATCAACGTGGATTTTTGTTTCCTAGATCTACAATTTGTCCCAGAACATTCAGGAAGATGACCTCCAGCAGCTGCAGGTATGTGTCTCATCGGCTTGAAGTTCTAGGATCGAGGCTTTAGAACCGGGTAGTTGTCTAGCGGGAGACTGACATGTGATTGGGAATTTGTAGCTCAGGATGACCCGATTCGTGCGTGGGGCAGGGGTGGTCAGAGAGGCCCGCGCTGATTGGAGCAAGCAGCAGAGATGGTGGGTGGGTGGGGGGAGAGGTGTTCTGGGACAGCAAGTGGCAAGAAGAAAGCCCCTGAGCTGGCGGGATAAACCGGCAAGGAGGCCAGTGAGTGCGGCAGCGGGGCTAAGCGACGGTGCAGGAGGCGGTGAGGTCGTGGTCGGGCGGAATAGCGATGGGCTTTTCCTCTGAGTGTCCGTGCCGCGGCAGTTTGGACCTGGGAGGGCTGATGTTGCCTCACACTGTGGCTGCAGGGTTTACATCTTGGGCCAGCTGGAGGATGCGTAAGGACGCACTCAGCGAGACCATCCTGAGGCTCTAAAGCTCTGGCGAGAAACCAGGGGAGGTGGGAGTGTGGGCGTGGTGACAGGGCCTGGGGCATCACGGGCGTGGCGGGGCCAAGGTGAGGGTATGTGGCTGCCACTAGGGCATTCACTGGTGAGAACAGGGGCCAGGTGGGACGAGGTGGGAGTGAACAGACTCCGCCTCAGTCAGGTCACGTGACTGACTGAAGTGCCAAAGGACTTGGCTCAGGGTGATGGCCGACCCAGCGACTGTGTAAACACCCATGCTGAAAAGGCGGCTGACTCCCTTTGAGGGTCTTAAAAATGGGCTTAGGGGTGTTGCCTCTGTGTCAACACTTTTTTTTTTTTTTTTGAAATTTGTTTATCTGAGAGAGTTGTAGGGGGAGAGAGGGAGAGATGTTCCATGTCCTGTGTCACCCCTCAAGTGCGTGCAGCCCGGCCCTGCTGGGACAAGCTGAAGCCAGGGTGTGGGAACTCAGTCCAGGCCTCCAACATGGGCGGTAGGGACCCAGCGGCTGCCTGGCCTGCTTTGCTGCCGTCCAGGGCCTGTATCCCCAGGAAGAGAGTCAGGAGTGGGGCTGGCTGTCACACCCAGGCACCGTGACGCAGGGTGTGGGCATCCCAGCTCCTTGTCACTGCCAGGCCAGCGCCTGCCCCAGTCTGAGCTCTCTTTACTGCTTCCCCACCCTTCCCCTGCAGTTTCCTGTCCCTTGTTGGTCCAGTGCTTGGATCACAGTTTTTTTTGGTTGGAAGAAACCTTCGCGCTGACTGTGTGGTGCAGCTGCGGTAGGCGCTCCTCGCAGCTGAGGCCTGTCGCCGAGCCAACACCACGTTTCTTCTCCATGTCTTTGCCCCTGCTTGTTTTGGTTTCGGTTCCTTTGTACCAACAGGCTCCTGGTGCTCTGGGTCCTGCCCCGTGTCCTCTTCGGGAGCTGCGTGTTCCTGCGGTCACTGACCCGAGCCTCTCCTGGGCAGGCGTGCGGCTGTCACCTTTGCCATGTCTTGGCAGCTTCTTACTTGGCGCCTCAGCTGGATCCCATTGGAGCTTTGGTTATTTCACCCCTCAACCTTTGCCGTTCTCCAGCCGGCTCTTGAGAAAGGATGTGTGGGCGGTAGCTCTTTCTGAGGTCTTGCAGATCTGAGAATCTTTGTTTTTTAAAGATTGATTGATTGATTTGAAAGGCAGAGTTAGTTACAGGAGGCATGGAGGAGGAGTGAAAGAAAGACTGCAGTGGCCAGCGCTGTGTCACTGAAGCCAGGACCCTGACACTGAGTCTCGCACGCGGGCGCAGGGCCCGAGGACTTGGACCACCTTCCACTGTTTCCCCAGATGCATTATCTGCTCAGAAGTGGGGCGGCCAAGGGAGGAACTGGCTTCACCCACTGCACCCTCTGAAAATACCTTACTTTTACACAAGAATTATTGAATGAAGGTAAGTTTCATTTAGAATAGCAAAGGCACTGGGGCTGGGGCTGTGGCATAGTGAGTTAAGCCATTGCCTGTAACTCCAGCATCCCATATGAGTAGTGGTTTGAGTCCTGGCTGCTCCACTTCTGATCCAGTTCCCTGTTTCTGCATCTGGAAAAGCAAGAAAGGATAGCCCAAGTGCTTGGGCCCCTGCATCCACGTGGAGGACCAGAAAGACCTCCTGGCTCCTGGCTTCGGCCTGACCCAGCACTGGCCGTTGGGCCTATTGGGAGGTGAAGCAGTGGATGGGCACTCTCTCTCTAATTCTGCCTTTCAAATAAGCAAAATAAATCTTACTACCCTCCTCAAAAAAAAAAAAAATCACGCGGGCATTGCCTCACTGCCTTCCAGGCTCCAGCGTGGCTGCCGCAGCCCCAGTGGTCGGAGCCCCCTTCCTTTTCATCCCACCTGTTGGCTCTCTGATTTGGCTTGAATCTTCATGGCGACTGGTTTCCCTGCGGGTTTTCCTCCTCCTTGGTAAGCGTGTAGGTGGAAGGTGAGATATTATCCGTGTTGCTGAAGCTGAGTCACAGTAACACGTCGTTAAAGAGCAGCCTAGCGAGAGTCCGGCAGGGCTCCTGGAAAGTGAGGCCATGGCAGCAAGCAAGGAAAGCATTTATATCAGAGGGGCTGGCGTCGTAGCACAGAGGGTTATGCTGCCGTTGGTGGTGCCAGCGTCCTGGGTCAGAGTGCTGATTTGAATCTCAGCTTTCAATCCAGCTCCTGGGTGACGCGCCTGGGAAGGCAGCAGCAGACGGCCCACACACCTGGACTGCTGCCACCCACGTGGGAGACCTGGATGGCACTTCTGCCTCCTACCTTTGTCCCGGGCCAGCCCGGGTGGTGACGGTGGCCATTCGGGGAATTAGCCAACAGATGGCAGATCTCTGTCTGTCACTTTGGCTGTTTTAAGATAGGTAAAACAAATCTCTTTAAAAAGTATACATACACCATAGGAAGTTTCCCTAGCAGGTTGAGTGAAGATCCGAAGAATAGAGAATGGCAGAGCAGTGGAGAGAGAGAGAAGAGAGAGGAGAAAGATACGCAGTGGGAGGACAGAGGTGCGAGAGAGGGGAGGTATCCCACAAGAGGGCTTCACGTGCTGGCAGTGGTAGATGTTGAGATGCAAGGCGTTAGAGTGGAGGGGAAGCGAGGACAGACAGCAGGGATGCAGGGTGCTGCTCTGACGGAAGGGCAGGTGTATTTACATGCCCGTGGCTTCCCTCAAGGGGCCCCAGTCCTCGGCCCCCTGCAGGCAGAGCGGGCCACCAAGCACACGAGCTTCCTGGTGAGAGAGCGGGACTCAGGCCGGGCAGCACCTTGAAGCTCTCCGTCCGCTCAAGGGAGCTGAGGCGACTTCTGGCCCCGTGTCTGTGCTTGAACTTAACGGGCTTGTTTCCAGGAAGGTGGGGGACTCGCTGCCAGCCTCAGCTGAGCGTGGCACCCTGGGCTAGACTGTGATTTGTCCTTTCCAGGTGTCGGGTAGGAAGGTAAGCATTGGCCCATGTGTAACAGGGACCAAAGGAGCAAGAATGGGAGCTCCTGCAGGGTTGAGGGAGGGCGGGCAACACTGGCATTTACCGGGTCTCCTGCCGATGCTTGGGCTCCCGGCCTGGCGCCAGGGGCTGCTTGGTCTGGTAACACCGTGTCTGGAAGGCCTTGCAGGAATTCCCCCCGTTCTGCGCCTAGCAATATCTCACAGGAAGTGGAGCGAGGGAAGAGAAATGGCAAGGGAATTTGTGTGCATCCCCAGAAATAACCCGGTGCGCGTGTAGACCAGACGGTCCCGGCCGGGTTGCTCTCCTGGCCTGTCAGCTCTATCCTGGCTTGCTTCCCACACTCCCTGAATCAATGAAGTGTCTTATGCGAAGACAGGAGCCTCTGTTCCCACGCCTTGCTCTGGGGGCCAGGAAGCAGGTGGGGCGAGAGTGCAGAGTCTGGAGACTTCCAGACCTTTCCTTCATTGCCACACTCCGGACTCGAGGTAACTGTGTGCTTGTGTTTTCTGAGGCTCCCGAGGATTCTTCTGAGAGAATCTTCTAGATTCCTGGTGGTCCCCGCTTCTCTCAGGTTCCTTAGTGCTACAGAAGGAGGCAAACCCGAGTTTTTGTCATCAGTGTTCTGTTCGGAATGTCTAACCATTCTTGTCTGCTCTCGCACTATCTGTGGGTTTGTAACTTTGAAGCCTTGCTTGGGTTTGTGAATAAGCAGAGCTGAATGTTCGCGTGAACCCTAATCTTATCCGGTTTAGTGATCTTGTTTTAGGTAGACGTCTTCACTGAGCAGGAGGCACGTGAGTTAAGAGGTGAGGGAGCTGGGCCTGGCGCCGTAGCCTAGTGGCTGGCTGAAAGCCTTGCCTTGCATGTGCTGGGATCCCATATGGGCACCGATTTTAATCCCAGCGGCCCTGCTTCCCATCCAGCTCCCTGCTTGTGGCCTGGGAAGGCAGCAGAGAACGGCCCAAAGCCTTGGGACCCTGCACCCGCGTGGGAGACCTGGAAGAGATTCCTAGCTGCTGACTTCCGATCAGCTCAGCTGCAGCCTTTGCTGTCGCTTGGGGAGGGAACCAGTGGGTGGAAGAGCTCTTGTCTTTCTCCCTATAAATCTGCCTTTTAAATAAAAATAAATCATTCATAAAGAAGAAAGGCCAGGGTGGCTGAATCACACTAATGAGTGGCTTTTTCAATTTGTGTTTGATGTTATTATTTATTTTGTTGAAAAGGTAGAGAGAGTGAGTGAGGTGGGCAGAGAGGCAGAGAAAGATCCACCTGCGGGTTCCCTCTCCAGATGCCCCGGGGCACCGGGACCGGCCAGGTCAAGGCCAGGAGCCTGTGACTCATCCGGGACTTCCACACGGTGGCAGGCACCCCCAGACCGTCCCCTGCTGCCTCCCAGGGGCCAGTCGGGAGGGACTCCAGCCCTGGCCCTCGCTGCTAGACGCGCCCCTCCCACGTAGCAGACGCACCGCTGTGCCCAGTGTCTGTCTCGGGACCAGCGTTTAGACCAGACGAGATGGCAGGGTTTGGAGTAGAAGTGGTGTAGGGCCTAACCACCCTCACTGCCCACGTCGGCCGGTCTGCTGTCACTGGGGTGGTCTGCAGGGAGCGCTGGCTGTGTCGCTGTCCTGCAGAGATGGACTTGGTGCACGGAGCCGATAATAACACATGGACTACTGACTGATGATCAATAGCTGAAATTTACTAGTGGCAACAGACTTTATACACACGGATAAGGGTGGAGGTATTGAGCTCATCAACAAACCCACCAACTGTTTCTCTGTTTTTGTCTGGAAGTCCTTTTGTCTTGTATATTCCACCAAGTGTTCTCACACACACACTGTCCACTCACCTGTTATACAAACGATATCCAATCAGGTATACAAAAGGTGGCCATTCGGTTGTTCTCATGCAAAGGATGTCCAGTCACACAAAGGGCACCCACTCAGTTGTTTATCATACAAATATTGTCCAATCAACTGTAATCCTGTGCTCGCTGACCTTCTAGGGTCACAGTGTCCTCCAGGCTGTGCACGGGGGGCCCCTTGGAGCTGTTGGAGTATCTCGGGCCATGTCGGGGGTGGGGGGAGCACGTGTGGTGGTTAGAATTCTGGATTTGCCCGTGAGCCGGTGTAGGATGTGACGGGGCCACAGCCGAGCCGACTTCAGGCTCGGTGGCACTTGTGGTGGTTAGAAACGGCACCTTGGCCCCGTGTGAGCAGTATCTAGCTTGTTAAATGAGCGCTTGGCTGAAGAATGACAGTAGAGCTATTTTAAGTAGTTTAGCTTTACAGAAACCAGAACCCTTTTTCTTTGTTTCTTTCTTCTTCTTTTTTTTTAATAGCTCTTCACGGAGTACGGCCGCCTGGCAATGGATGAAATTTTCCAGAAACCCTTCCAGGTAAAATACTGATGATGGGAGTGTGAATGACATGTGGTTTGAACACTCTCAGATGGTTGAAGAAGCGTAAAAAGGAGAGTAATGCTTTATTACATGTGTCAGTGATCTGAAGCCCGGATGTTGGCGCCCGCTGTTGAGTTCTTGGGGATCGCAGCCAGGCGCACTGCATGCCGATGCGCACCGGGCCCCCCGCTCTGCCACCACGCGGAGCCCAGCGCTTGCTTGCCACGCCCTCTGGCCCCTTAGGGCACGTGTGCGCTGGCCCCTGCTGTAGATGAGGGGTGCCTGCGGTGTGTCACTCAGCAGCAGGTCTGATCTGGGGACCCAGCTGACCGTGATGCTCTCTCCCTTGTCCCTCGCTGTGTGCTGAGTGCAGGACTTACCGTTTTCTCGTGTCTTCCTTCTGTCCCAGTTAACCCGCACCAACAAAAAGGACGGACCGGAGAAGTTAGCCTTACGTTTCAGCTAGTTCTGGTCCTTCCGATGTTATTAAAATTTCTAAGTGATTACACAGTGGATAAACCCTGGGGCCAGCATCGTGGCTTGGCATGTTATCTGTTACCTGCAATAATGGCATCCCGGGTAGGCGTCGGTTTGGGTCCCAGCTACTCCCTGTTAACGTCCCAGGGCAGGTAGCAAAGGATGGAGTAAGTGCTTGGGCCACTGCACCCACACGGGAGACACGGGGGAAGCTCCTGGCCGCAGCGTGGCCGGCCCTGGCCGTTGGCAGCCATTTGGGGAGTGAACCTGGAGACGGAAGATGTTTCTCCCTGCTTTTCCTCTCCCTTCCCTCTCTTTTTTCCTCTGCTTTTCTCTTTTCCTCTCTTGGTGAACTCTGCTTTTTAAGCAAGTTTTTTTCTTTCTCTCTCTCTCTTTTTAAGGTCAGACTATTAGGAGGAGATACAGATCTTCCATTTGGTTCACTCCCCAAAAAGCCACAATGGCTAGTGCGGGGCCAGGAGTCTCTTATATGAGACTCCAGGAGCTTCCATCCGGGTCTCTCATGAGTGGCAGGGGACCCAGAAGCTGGGCCATCTTCCGCTGCGTTTCCTGGGCTGTTAGCTGGGAACTGGATAGGAAGCGAAGCCACTAGGACGTGAGCCAGTGTTCAAATGGGATGCAGCGTTTCTGGTGGCGGTGTTATCAATAACAGCAGGTGCCAGCTGCAATGCCACAATGCCAGCCTCAGAATCCTTATAAAAAAAAAAAAAGAAAGAATAGGGAAATGCTTCAATACAGTTGTCCGCTTGGAAGAAGTGTCATCCCACTGTGGAATATTCCGGCTGTCCTGAAGATGCCTTCGCGCCCTCACGCTGTGCTGTGTTCTTTCCCCGGACAGACCCTGATGTTTCTGGTCCGGGACTGGAGCTTCCCTTACGAGTACAGCTACGGCCTGCAAGGGGGCATGGCGTTCCTGGACAAGCGTTTGCAGGTGAGCGGGCGCGTGCCCTCCCGAGAAGTTAGCCGGGGTCACGGCCACCTTCTCATCTGCCTCTGGCTGTTGCATTTAAAACAGATTGCTGGACGTGATCTTCAGGTGTTAAATATGTATGAGTCTTAGCACGAGCCAGTATCATTTATTCATGGTGCGTAACGCGCAGGGCGGTGGAGAAAACCCGCGGCAAAAGCCCAGGCTCTGGAGACAATTCCATCTCACATCACAGATTCCGTATGTGTCCGTACAGTGTTGTGTTCAGTTTTTTTTTTTTTAAAGATAGTTTTATTTGAAAAGCGAATTTACAGAGAGAAGGGGAGACAGTAAGAGGTCCTTCACCGGCTGACTCATTTCCCAAATGACTGTAAGGCCAGAGCTGAGCCGCTCAGGAGCCACGAGCCTCTTCTGGGTCTCCCACCCAGGAGCAGGAGTCCCACGACCTGGGCCGTCCTCAACTGCCTTCCCAGGCCACAAGCAGGGAGCTGGATGGCAAGTGGAGCAGCCAGGACTAGAACTGGCGCCCACACAGGATGCCGTTACCTGCAGGCAGAGGATTAGCTTGTTGAGTGCTGGCCCCTGTATTCACATTTTAAAAAGTTTTGTTGTGTTTCTTCAAAATTCTCATTTGTTTTGGCATGGGCATAAACAGGTCCAGCCTGTTCCCCGAAAACCGAAACACTGGGCTCCTTTGTCAGTCGCTTCCAGGCGGTCAGATCCTCCCTCCTGCACACTGCCCTCCCCTTGTGCTCAATATTTGCACAATATTCTCTTCTAAGAAATGCCTCACGCCTTGCGTTGTGTTAGCTGTGGGAGCCAAAGGCGGGTGGCTGTGTGCCTGCCTGCCTCCCTTGTCACCCGAGGGTCCCCGGTCTCCGCGTGCTGACTCACTGGGCCTCGTTGCAGGTGAGGGAACAGCAACACGAGGAGATCCAGAGTGTCCGGAACCACATCCACTCGTGCTTCTCTGATGTCACCTGCTTCCTCCTGCCGCATCCGGGGCTCCAGGTGGCCACAAGCCCCGACTTCGATGGGAAACTGAAAGGTGTGTGTCGCTACACATGGGAGTTGACATGACCCCGTGAGCCACGCCGCGAGCAGGGCCTGCACCTGCCTCGTCTCCGAGGAAGACTGCTCTTCCAAGGCCAGGCTGTGTTCTCGTGTGCTGCGATGGTCAGAATTTGTTTACTTTAGTTTCTGAGCCTTCTAGAAGCATCCACTCATGGTCTTTCCAAGGGATACACTGTGGTTACTGGTTTATAAGGGGTGCAGGCGCTAAATATAGGAAGACTAAACAGAAGCTGATTTGTTGGGTACATTAGCTCCTGCAGGAGAGAGAGGCCCCGGCTGCGTGGCCTTGCTGTTCTGTCTCACCTGTGATTACGCCACAGCCTGAGGCTGGGTCACGTGCTGCTGCCAGGAAGTGCCCGTCAGCTGGCACACGAGAAGACTCTGAGTCGGGACTCAGGGGTCCAGTGACCTCATGGAGACCTGAGTCACTGAGTAGCTGGCCCGTGGTTTACACACGCAGTAAACTGAGCGCTTTGTTTATAAGCTTGTCCAAGCCCCCCGGGCTGCCCGCCTTGGAGACCACGGAGTGCCCCCACTGTGCCACAGACCTGGGAGTTCTGTGAAACCAGGCAGAGCTTCGTCCTACCACTCCCGCCCTCTGTCACACGGGAGGTTCCGCTGTGAGGCTGTGCCGTCTCGGTGCCAGGGGAGCTTGCCATCCAAGTGGGAAGGAGTTCATAACCCTGTTTGTCTTCAGTTCACAATGCATTTTTTTGTATGTCCTTGTCTGACGCTGGATGCCCATCCCCGCCGAACGGAATGTGGTCAGAGAAGCAGAACTGGCCTTCACCTCCCTGGGGTTGCTCCCTGAGCCCCTGCAGTGGCTGGCAGCCATCCTGAGGAGGAGGCGGAGGCCTCCAGGCCCGTGACGCAGTCGCTGAGCCGCCCAGGCCCGGCCTTGGAGGGAGGTCGGCCTGGGCAAGCGCTGGAGCCAGAGCCTTGCACCTGCAAAGCCGCTGAGAGGGAATTTTCAGAGCTGAGCAGGGCGAGGGGGTGGAGGGTGCGTTGGTGTCTGCGTGCGCAGGTCACGGAGTCCTGTGCAGCTGTGGTGGCCTGTTGCTGGTCGCGCTTTTAGCAAGTTTATCACTGATGGGGAAGATATCCAAGGGGTTGCTTTTTTAAAATTTTTTGTTCTCTTGTAAGACTTACTTTTATTTATTTGAAAGGCAGGATGAGAGTAAGAGAGAAATATAACAGAGAGAGGGGGGCAGGGCACAGAGATCTTCCACTCACTGGTTCACTCCCCAGATGTGCACAGCCGGGGCTGGACTGGCCAAGGCCGGGAGCCTGGGGTGCCCTGTGAGTCCCCCAGGAGTGCAGTAAGAGCCTGGCCCTGAGCCGTCACGCGCCACCGGGAGGCGGGAAGCTGCGCTGGAAGCAGGGCATTAACTCTCAGACCCTGGCAGTCTCGGCGCGCCAGCCTCCGAGACAGCGCCCACGCTCCACTGCAAATTCTTTCTTTTTTTAAAAAAGATTTATTTGTTTTTACTGGAAAGGCAAATATACAGAGAGGAGGAGAGCCAGGAAGATCTTCCACCCGATGATTCACTCCCCAATCAGCCACAATGACTGGAGCTATGCTGATCCAAAGCCAGGAGCCAGGAATTTCCTCTAGTTCTCCCACGCGGGTGCAGGATCCCAGGGCTTCAGGCTTTCCTCGACTGCTTTCCCAGGCCACAAGCAGGGAGCTGGATGGGAAGTGGGGTCTCCAGGATCAATACTGGCGCTCATATGGGAAACCAGCTTGTGCAAGGCAAGGACTTTAGCAACTAGGGCACTGCGCCAGGCCTGCTTGCTTGCTTGCTTGCTTTCTTTTTTTTTTTTTTTAATATTTAGTTTATGTTTATTGTGAAGGCAGATTTACAGAGAAAGGAGAGACAGAAAGATCTCCATTCATTGGTTCACAACCCAAGTGACTGCAATGGCCAGAGCTGAGCCAATGTGAAACCAGGAGCCAGGAGCTTCTTCTGGGTTTCCCACGTGGGTGCAGGGTCCCAAGGCTTTGGACCATCCTCGAGTGCTGTCCCAGGCCACAAACAGGGAGCTGGATGGGAAGTGGAGCAGCCAGGACATGAACTGGCACCCATAATGGGATTCCAGCACATACAAGGGGAGGATTTAGCCATTGGGCCGTTGTGCTGGGTCCAACTATTGATTTTCAATAAGCTCTTAACTGATTGAGAGGCAGAGAGAAAGGGGGAGTGTGTGTGTTCTGTCTGTTGGCTCAGTTCCCAAATGCCCACAGTCGCTGGGTCTGCAGCCGGAAGCTGGAAACGTATATGGGTTTCTCCCGTGTACTTGGTCTTGGATGTGGACAGGGAAGCCCAGCTACTTGAGCCAGCACTGCTGCCACCTGGTGTTGGTGTCCTGCATGTGCACCCCAGGGAGTGTTTTAACTGTTAGGCCAAATGCTTGCCTCTGACACGTGGTGTTTGAGGAGCTTGTTAATTACTTTAAAAATTTTTTAAATTTACTTTTATTTGAAAGGTTAATTTATATATAGAGAGAGTGTCAGAGAGATCTTCCATCCATTAGTTCACTTCCTAAATAGTTAAAATGGCTAGAGCCACACTGATCCAAAGCTGGGAGCCAGGAGGAGCTTCTTCCAGTTCTCCCACACAGGTGCAGGGTCCCAAACACTAGGACCATCCTTCACTGGCTTCCCAGGCCATAAACATGGAGCTGAATGGGAAGTGGAGCAGCCAGGACATCCAGCATCCAAATGGGATCCTGATGCTTGAAGGTAGAGGGTTAGCCTGTTGAGCCACCATGTTGTCACCCTCCCCCTTTATTTTTTTTTTTAAAGATTTATTTATCTATCTGTTTATTTATTTATTTTATTGGAAAGGCAGATATACAGAGAAGAGGAGAGATAGAGAGGAAGATCCTCCGTTGCGTCCCAGTGACCGCGACAGCTGGAGTTGTGCCGATCCAAAGCCAGGAGCTTCTTTCGGGTCTCCCACACGGGTGCAGGGTCCCAAAGCCCTGGGCCGGCCTCGACTGCCTTCTCAGACCACAAGCAGGGAGCTGGATGGGAAGCGGGGCTGCCGGGATTAGAACCGGTGCCCATATGGGATCCCAGCACCTGCCAGGCAAGGCTTTCAGCCACTAGGGTACCACGCCGGGCCCAGGTTTATTTATATCTTTTTGTAAAAGGTAGATATACACAGAGAAGGAGCGATGGGAAGCTTGTTAATCAAATTCTTTACAAATTAAATTCCTCAACTTGCTGCACGGTGCCAACTCCCCCGGAAGGAAAGCCACGTGTGTGAGTCCGTTTCTGGTCCTATAACAGAATAGCTGAGGCAGCTTGCTTATATCTGGCTCACATTTGTGGTCAGGTTCAGAGTCCAGATGTCAGCACAGGCTGCCCAGCGAGGGACCCCCCGACACATGGCAGAGCAGGGCCAGAGGAAGGATCTCCAGGCAAGCCGGGAAGTGGAGCGTGGCCAGGCTCCACCTGGGCCTTCCACTGCCAGCCTCCTGCACGACGTCCCCACGGCAGTCCCCAGCTCCCTAAGGACCTCTCTCGGGGTCCTGCCTCTGACATTTCCTCCGGAGCAGGCCGTTAATACGTGGCTCTGGGGCAGGGATGGCATGCAGACCCACGCCCCCAGGTGAGCCTGTGCCAAGCTTGTGGAGCTGCACCGCAGGCGGAAGCAGGCGCCGAGGAGTGCTGGCTCTGAAGGGTGGGCTCCGTGCTGCAGCTTGGGACACCTGCACTCCGTTCAGGAGTTCTGGTTCAAGTCCCGGCTGCTCTGCATCCAAGCCAGCAGCCTACCAGAGCACCGTGGGAAGCAGTGAATAATAATGACTGGGTGCTTGGGTCCCTGCCACCCACGTGGGAGACCTGGACGGAGTCCCAGGCTCCTGGCTTCACCCAGGCCTGGCCCCGGCTCCTGTGGCCCTTTGGGGAGTGAACTAGCTGATTTTTCTGTCTGTCTCTCAAAGAAATCTTAGCAAACGACTAACCAGAGGGTGAGGATTGTGCGATGTGCTCACCTCGGTAGACTAAGGCCACCTGGTTTGTTGTGTCCTTCCGCATGGTCCTGCAAACAGACATTGCTGGTGAATTTAAGGAGCAGTTACAGATCCTGATCCCGTATGTGTTAAATCCCTCCAAGTTAATGGAAAAGGAGATCAACGGCTCAAAAGTGACCTGTCGGGGACTGTTGGAGTACTTTAAGGTACATGTGGTTTTTTTATTATTATTGTTAAAATGTTTGATTCTTGCTAAAACTGGTGTATGCGTGCAACTCATCATGGTGGATTTAGGCGTTTCTTTCCCCGGGTTGTGGGGGTTGCTGGGAGAAGAATGTTCAGAGACCCAAGTGTCCTTCCAGGAGTAGGCCACTGGGTGGCAGTACCGGTCTAAGAGCCCCGTGGGCGTCCCCCGCTCTTAGAGGAGCAATCACAGGAACTGCCACGGAGGCAGCGGCGAGAGCAGCGTGCACGGGCCTCGCGTGGAGTCCTGGCCCCTGCTTAGGACTATCATGTGAGCTGAAAGCGCAAACATGCACTTGTAGGGCTTGCTGTGTTTCCGCTAATCTCCCCCCGTTGTCGCTCGAGGTGTTTAGGAAAACTCAGCTGTGTGGTCACCAGTTTTAAAATGTGAATCCAATTGAACAGAACAGCATCCTTTATAATCTTTTTTTTAATGTTTGTGTTCTAAGGCATATATCAAAATTTACCAAGGGGAAGATCTGCCTCACCCCAAATCCATGCTTCAGGTAAGGAACTCCTCCGACTTTTGAGTGACACCTGCCGGTCACAGGCGACAAGCCTCTCCTTTCCCGGTCGCACCTGGTCTCGGCTAGGTCAGGGCGGCAGTGTGACCACCTGCTGGCCTTGCCCGTGGGTCCACCTGAAGACAGAACGGCCTCTGCTCGTGGGGCCTGGCGTTCCCAGGCAGGACAGCCCTGCCCCTGTGGAGCAGCCGGGGCCTGCTGCGCGGCGTGTCTTTGTATGGAGCATGTCCCGACACACGTGTTCATGACTCACGGGTCAGTTTTTCACCATTTTTGCGTGGAAGCTGTCACTTCGTGACGGCAGATTGGCTCTGACCTTCTCTGCCCAGGCACTGGCAAACGTCGGTTCCTTTAGGAGCAGGGCGTTGCCACGGCGGGGCCAGGCCGGGGACCAGCGTCACGGAGACCAACGTGTTCGTCCTCCTTTTTCTTTTTTTGGCTCACACTGTTTCTTATGTTTAAAACCAGAGCCAAGGAAGTGATATTTTCCTCGATTTTTGGAGGTCTAACTTGTGTTAATGATTTTCACAGATTAAAGAATGTAAATTTTTTTTTTTTCTGGTTGAAAATCTGGCAGAACGAGCGGGGAGGGCGAGAGCCTGGCCCGTGGGAATTGGCGGAAACGTTCGTCACAGTTCGTCCTTTGCTTTTTTTCTTAAAAGGCCACTGCCGAAGCCAACAATTTAGCAGCGGCAGCCTCTGCCAAGGATGTCTATTACAACAGGATGGAAGAGGTAGGCTGGGGGGAGGCGGGGGCGGGTAGTCGGGGTGTTTGGTGTCTCTGGCCCCGGGGGTGGGGGCTGGCTTCGGAGCCCCAGACTCCACCGACTTAAAGCAGCTGCAGACACGGAACCGGGGCTGCTGTTGGGTACAGTAGGTTAAACTGCCGCTGTTTGAGTCCCAGCTGCTCGGCTTCCAGCCTGGCTCCCTGCTCGTGCAGCTGGGGACGCAGCAGAAGAAGATGGCCCCGGTGCTTGGGCCCCTGCCCCCACACGGGCACCCTGGCTGGAGTTCTGGGTTCCCGGCTTCGGCCCTGCCCAGCCCCGTCTGTTGGCGTTCACCTGGGAAATGAACCAGCAGATGGAAGACCGCTTCCTCTCCTTCAGTCACTGTGCATCTCAAAGAAATAAAAGACATAAAAAAATAAATTCCAAAACAAAACACGAAAGCCAAGTCGGGAGGCAGCAAGGCTGTGCCCAGGCCTGCCTGGTCGCCAGTGCTTCTGGTCACCACTTGGCATGCCATGTTAGCCTGGTTCCAGGACTTGCGCCGACCGCATGCGAAGCAGCGCCCACATGGATGCTGGCACTGCCAACAAGGACCAGCCTGCTTCACCACAGTGCCAGCCCACAGAACGTGAATGTCTAATACCCTTTCTCTAAAGATTTATTTTTACATTTGAATTGGAAAAGCAGAGTCCAGAATGAGACAGATCTTCCATCCACTGGTTCACTCTCCAGATGGCCACAACAGCCGAAGCTGAGCCGATTGAAACCTAGGAGCAGGAGATTCTTCCAGGTTTCCCGTGTGGGCAAAGGGGCCCACGGACCTGGCTCATCTGCTTCTCTCCCAGGCCACAGACTGGGAATTGAATGGGAAGTGGAGCAGCCAGGACTAGAATTGATGCCCGCATACGATGCCAACACTGGCAAGCAGAGGACTAGTTTGTTGAGCCACCATGCTAAAATACCCCAACTGCCAACTTTTTAAGCTTCTGACTGTGGCACTTGCATTCCACATGGGCACCAATTCAAATCCTGGTTGCTCCAGTCCCCATCCAGTTCCCTGCTAATGTGCTGGGAAAGCAGCAGAGGATGGCTCAAGTTCTTGGACCCCTGTGCCTGTGTGGGAGACCCAGCTTCTCCTGGCTTTGGATCGGCTCGGCTCCGGCCGTTGCAGCCATTTGGGGAATGAAGCAGCAGATGGAAGCTCTCTCCCTCTCTATTGATGTACTTTTCAAATAAAATACCCAAAGTCACTTTGTTTTTAAAAATAGGAAACCGTTGCATCCCCGTGTCTTTTGGCTGGTGTGTGAAGGGCTCACCACCATCCTGGCGTCCTTGCGTCCCGTAGGTTTGTGGGGGAGAGAAGCCGTACTTGTCCCCAGACACCCTGGAGGAGAAGCATTGTGAATTCAAACAGCTGGCTCTGGATCATTTCAAGAAGACCAAGAAGATGGGCGGGAAGGACTTCAGCCTGCGCTACCAGCAGGAGCTGGAGGACGAGATCGGCGAGTTGTACGGCAACTTCTGCAAGCACAACAGCAGCAAGAACGTCTTCAGCACGTTCCGCACGCCCGCCGTGCTCTTCGCGGCCATCGTGGCGCTCTACCTCGCCTCGGGCCTCAGCGGCTTCGTGGGCCTCGAGGTCGTGGCCCAGCTCTTCAACTGCATGGTGGGGCTGCTGCTCATCGCGCTGCTCACCTGGGGCTACGTCCGCTACTCGGGCCAGTACCGCGAGCTGGGCGGGGCCATCGACGTGGGCGCCGCCTACGTGCTGGAGCAGGTGAGCGGGCAGGTGAGTGGGCGCGGTGGGCGTGGAGGGTTAGGGTTGGGGAGGGGGTGGCTAAGTGAGAGCAGGCACAAGAAGCGTCCCTTGGTTATTTAAGTTTCCTGTTAGGCATTAGTCTGTTATACCTTGTTAGGACAATGGGCATCTATTCCTGATAATTTATTTTCATGCCTAAAGATGGCCTTTTGTATAGACAAGGTTTCAGCTTCGGGCCTGGCATAATAGCTCAGTGGCCAAATCTTCGCCTTGGAAGTGCTGACATCCCATGTGGATGACGGTTCATGTTTTACCTGTTCCACTTCCCACCCCGCCCCCTGCCTGTGGCCTGGCAAAGCAGTCGAGGACGGCCCAAAGCTTTGGGACCCTGCACCTTCATGGGAGACCCCGGAGAGGCTCCTGGCTCCTGGCTTCAGATTGACTTAGCTCCGGCTGTGTGGCCATTTGGGAAGTGAGCCAGTGGATGGAGGGTCTTTCTCTCTGTCTCTTTGAAAAATCTGCCTTTCCAATAAAAACAAATCTTAAAAAAAAAAGCTTCAGCTTCAACACGCTCTGTTGCTCATGGGAATCCCCACTCCCGTGTCTTTCTGTCTTCTCCTTGCCATTAATTTGCTTCAAGAACTCTTGGGGAAAAAAAATGAACTTAACATGGTTTCCTTTTTGAGTCCTGCTCCTTTAATTTTTTTTTTAAAGATTTACTTATTTTTACTTGAAAGACAGATTAACAGAGAGAAGGAGAGAGAGAGAGAAAGAGATATCTTCCATCTGCTGGTTCACTCCCCAAATGGCCACAACAGTAGAGCTGAGCCAACCCAAAGCCAGGAGCCAGGAACTTTTTCTGGGTCTCGGTCATCCTCTGCTGCTTTCCCGGGTTCTAAGCTGGGAACTGGAAGGGAAGTGGAGCTGCCAGGACCTGAACCGGCAGCCATATGGAATGCTGGCACTTGCAGGTGCAGAATTGAACCACTGTATTGTTGAGCCTGAAGTGCTGCTGGTTTCGAAAATGGATGACATTTCTTTCATTTAGAATCTTGCCACAGTGCTCAGGGCTCTGATGATGATGTTCCCCCCAGGGGAACCCCCTTTGGGGGTTCATCACTCAGAGTAAGAGCAGGTGGGTCAGGTCAGCCGGGCGACTCGCTGCAGGGACTGGCCACCTCCCCGAGGGCAGCTGCTTCCCGTGCCCCGCATTTCCCTCTGTGTTAGACACGGGCGGGGGAGGCACAGGTGTCCGAGTCCGTCTCCGCTCGTGGCGCTGTGTGGTGTTCTGCTAACTCACGTGTGGAATCCGTGGACTCTTGCCAGGCGTCTTCTCACATCGGAAATTCCACTCAGGCCGCGGTGAGGGAGGCCGTGGTCGGGAGGCCGCCTGGGGAGAAGAAAGCCCAGTAGCGTCGTGAGACCTGAACACCCGGCGACGACCGGCCAGCAGCACCAGCGGGCCGTCGGAGGAGCTCCACCCCGGGGCCGGGGGCGAGCTGTGTGCCTCGGTGCTGGAATAAACACCCGGCTTCTGCGCGGTTCCAGATCCTTCGACTCAACTTCCAGTTCCCTCGGAAGCCTTTGCTTGCCTCCGGCCCAGATCCAAGCCTATGTCTGTTTTCTTATTACTCTCTGCTTTGTGCACTTTAGGGGGCGGGGGGAGGGGCTTGAGGACATGGTGCAAGTGCCACCTCCGTCCTCTGAGTGCTATGCTAGTGCCTTGGGCGGGGGCCGGCCGGAACTGCTGCTGCACTGTATGGGGTGGTGGTGAGGGGCAGCCTGAGCAGGGTGGGTGCCCCGGTGGGTGCGGGTGGCGGTGAGGGGCACCCGAGCGGGGCAGGTGCCTCGGTGGGTGCGGGTGGCAGGGAGGGGCACCCCATGCAGGGTGCATGCCCCGGTGGGTGCAGATCAGCACTGCTTTTTATAGCCTACTCTTTCCTAAAAGTTTACAAAACTTAGAAGAGCTAAAGAACCACAGAGCATCCGAAAGGGACACCATTAGGCTTTAGAAAGTCTGTCGTCGTAACCGGTGAATCCTGCTTGTCACAGCGCGTACAGAACATCCCGCCGTGTTTGCATACGCTGTGTTCTCCAACGGAAGGTCTGGGGGTCACTGGGCAGTCTGAGAGTTTAGTTGCAAAGTGCTCCGATAGCTTCTTTCTAGAAAAGAGGCGGACATTCCTTGAAAAAGCCAAGCTGGCTCACGTGGAAGGGACAAGCTGGAGATGCTACAGCAAAAGCTGGGTTTGAAGTGAACCCCGTGGCCTCGGAGAAGCCGGCCACCTACCTCGGAGAAGTTGGGTTTGTGCCTTGGCCAGGCGCCCAGGGCTTCGTAGCTGTGCGAATGTAGCTGTCCGTGGCTTTTGTCTCTGAGTTCTGCCCAAGTAAGGATTCCAGGAGAGACATGACCACATGTGTTAGTGCCTGTCGTGGACGGCCCGGTTCCTGTGGCTGAGCAGTAATTAATAATGAAGTGGCCTGCGTCGCAGGCCTTCCCCGAGGTGCCTTCTTCCGTGCACTGTGTAGTGTTCCCTAACAATGGAGCTAAGTTCGTCACTTGTCTGTATCCTTTACTTTCCCTCCAGTAGTCTCCTGTGGCTTTAAAATTGCTTTGGCTTCGTAAGGACCAAAATCTTACTCCTAAGGTAAGCCTTGTGTCTGTTGGCTGCTTTTTTTTTTTTTCTTCCAATTTCTAATGATGAGTTTGTATGGTTTTTTAATCTTTCTCACACTCGCCTGTATTTGTATGAACACTCTGGTCTCTGAGCCATGCTTGTTATGATAATTTCATTTTGTTGCAGGAGGAAGATAGAAAACTTAGGTTAAATTGGACTGTAAATTCCACAGGTAAATTGGTAGAGGAAAGAAAAGCTTAGCCTGCAGTCTGTTGATGCTGTACCACTGCAGTATTTTTAAAAATGAGTCTCTGATTTAATTCTAAGCGTCTTATATGTATTCTTGATATCTACATGCCTTCTTGCTCTGAGGTGGTTACTGTTTTACTCACTTGCTGACAAACTTTAGGTAAAAGTTTTAGGAAGCATCCAGCTTGTTCTCAGCTGTCGCCTTGCTGGGACTGTCCGGCCGAGAGCTGCCGAAGCCTGCTGCGTCTTCGGGCGGCCCACCTGGCAGGATGCCTCCTTCCGTGGACAGGGAGCCAGGCTTCCAGTGTGTTCTGGAAGTCAACGTGTAGCCTGCAGGCTGCTCCTCAGAATGAAAGCTCTGCTCAGCGAGGGCCAGGTGCCTGAGAGTGGGCTCACAGCGCAGCCCCGGGGGCCCTGGCTGACTGCAGGGAGCCTTGGGGTCTTGGTTATCCGGCAGCCCAGCATTTCTGCTGCAGTTTTGTGAAGCAGTTACCTTGGCCTGCTCGTCCAGGGAAGCTTCGCTCCCTATTTAGTTGGCTGGTCTGCTTCTAGAAAAAAATTTACAGCATCTCCTCGGGGCAGGTTAAGGAGCCTTCTTTGGCCCCTTCCTCCCCGTCACAGTAGACAGAGCGTTTGCGTGGTCACTGCTGGCTGTAACTGGCCGTGGTCCTGGGGCGCCCGTTAGTTTGTGCCACAGTTTGGCTCTGCGTGCTGCTTGCTCTGCCCCTCCCCTTGCCTGGCTCTCTCACCAGCCCCGTCATGCGCATGGAGCATGTTCCGGTGAACGTAAGGACATTTCCAGAATTTTTCTTTTTTAAAAAGATCTCAGGACAAGTTAGTTGTTGCTAGCTTGAAAAATGACTTCCCAATTTGCTTCTAATGTAAACATAACAGAAAACAAAGCTTTGCCTCTTCAGCTGAGGAATCTTTCCACGTGTTCTAGACAAAGTGAGGCCAGGCTGCCGTGAAGGTGGGTGGCCTGGCCGAGGGTCACACCCCGCAGAAGGTGTCCTGTGGGGGCTGCGCTGGGAACCCCCTCCTGCTTTCCCCGTTCGTTCTCTTTTCTCTCACTCACTCTTGACATACTCATGCACACACATGCTACACCCACGTGTGTGCGCGCACACACACACACACACACACACACACACACGGCCATGTATTGTAGTCACTTTCGCCAGTAGATCACACACAGAGTTCTCTCCAACTTAGAAAAATGGTACCTTGCATAAGGAGGGGTCTGGGTGAGTGAGCGGGATTGGTGGCTCAGGGGTCACGTGTCTGCTGCCTGCAGGGGGACAGCACGGCTCAGCGTGGCGGTCAGGGAGGCCGCCTCGGCTCCGGGGCTTGACTAGGCTGCGTTGAAGTGCCTTAGAGCTGTGTTTGTAAATCGTCACGGCGCCTTCTCTGGAAAATGAATGTCCAGTTAGCCTGTTGATTAACAGGTGTAACTTGGATTTTCAAAACAAGTCTTGGTGATGGCTTTTTTCTTTTCATGTAACAAACCAAATCCAGCACTATGACTTAACCCTTGAATCTTCCACACACAGGGAAAACAGTAAAGAAAGGTTGAAACTTAGAAAAGGTTGCCACTAACTCTGATAAGTTGCAACTGAAATTTTCAACCTAGGCTTAGGGGTGGAAGGGTTTAGGAAAGTCTGTCTTTGGGAGGACTTCCATGGGTCATGAATTCAAGTGTTCGATCAAGGGAAGATTCCTTCGGCTTCCAGAGCTTTCCAACGGGTGTGAATAGGTGGTGCCTTAGATGTTTGCCTTGAAAGGAGTTCGTACAAATCTGGAATATTTGTAAATGTTCCTTGGGTGTCTCGTGTGTGTGTGTGTGTGTGCATGTTTCTTTAAAAAGTGATTTATTAAAATAATATTTTCTGCTAAACCTCTGCCTTTGGATGGCTTTCAATTTTATAAATGTGCAATGAGATGAGACTATGCATGTTTCTGTCTCACTTGGAGTCGTAAGGTTGTTTAATGGAATAAAGAGTGCAACGCTGGGCTGTCCTTGTCAGTGTCTCTGGTCTGTAGTGGTCGGGGTCGGGGTGGGGAGCCTGGTAGGGTGGCTAGGATGTGGGAGGGCGTGGCCCATGCTGGGCCGAGGGAACGTGACTCCCACGCTGCTGGAGAAGGCCATGCTGCTGGCTGGGGGAGGGAAAGTGGACACAGACGTCAGGAGGGGAACAAGGACTTGGGGGGACTTTGGAGCCCTTGACTTTGGCTGCCCGCTGAGGAGCCAGCCGCTGGTAGCCAAGGTTTCTTCCCTGGGGAGAGGAAAAGAAAGCTCTGTTGGTGAGGCTGCCTGGGACTTCTCAAACACCCTGGGATGAGGGCCCCTCCCTGGTGCGCAACATAGAGCGAGCGGGCTGGGAGGCCTGGGTCCCTGATCAGGGGGCTGCGGCGGCCTGTACAAAGGGAACACGGCCAAGGCCGAGACCCACGGGCAGCAAGAGCGAGGCAGGAAAGGGGAGGAGAGGGGCGTGGCCACGAACAGCGGCTGGGGGAGGGGGTGCCCAGCAAACTCAGGCTTGCCTTATCTTCGGCCATCATGGTGCCAGTTGGAAATGTCTAGTCCAGCTCTAGCTTGATCACAAAGAGGCCCTAGAAAGGAATTGCAGCTGGGAAAAGGATTCTTGTAATTGGATGTCTACGGTGAATGTGACCTTGTGCACTTGAACTCAGCTGTCAACAGGGCTCTTATCTCAATGTGCAGTGGCCAAATTATCTGTTTGCAGATGTGTTTCCTGCAAGCCCCAGGGAGGACAGGCGGAGGTGGGTCTAAGCTTACCGCATTCCACATAGCGTGGCAAGAGGCAGGAGCTTTCCCCATTACTGTTTATTAAAAAGGTGTGTGTGTGTGTCCATCCATCCCGGGAAGCCTTCTCTTTGGTTTGGCTTGAGTCATGCTCCTTTCAGGTCAGCCCTGTAGCCTGGGGCTTGGGCACCTTGAGTGGCCTGACCTAGGGTCACAGGTGTGGGTCAGAGTGATGGGATGCTGTGATGGACAGCCCCACTTGGAGCTACTCAGTCACCAGATCAAAGACCGCTGGGCAGACCAAAACTCTCTGCCAGCTTGGCCACTTATAATTATTACTTTAAAAGGTTGATTTATTTGAAAGGCAGAGGTAGGGCGTAAGGGCGAGATGGGGATCTTCCATCTGCTGCTTCTCTTTCCCACCTGACTGTAGTACCTGACTGTAGTACCTGGGGTTGGACCAGGCTAGAGCTAGCTTTTTTGGGGGTCTCCCACCCACATAGATGGAGGAGTCCAAGCACTTGGACCAACTTCTGCTTTCCCAGGCACATTAACAGAGAGTTGAATCAGAAGTGCAGTAGCCAGGACTTGAACTGGTGCCCATAAGGGATGCTGGCACTGCAGGCTGAGGCTTAGGCCATTATGCCACAATGCTGATCCACTTTTGGTTATTCAGAGGGCAGAGAGAACTGCCATCTGCTCGTTCATTCCTTAAACACCTGTAACACCTGGGTTGCAGCTGGAGGGCATATGAGCCATTGCCTGTTGCCTCCCACTGTGCACATTAACAGGAAGCTGGATTGGCAGCAAGGCTGGGCTTCAATCCCAGTCACTCCAGTGTCCTAAGCAATGTAATACTGCACATATAGGGCTGGGATTGAAAGCCTAGGATATTTTCCCCAGATCAAGT